AATGCTTGGGTTAGATTGTCCATTTCTGCACATTGTAAAATTTTCTGAATGACCATAAGTTCAGTGGGGATGTAAGGTAGTTTCCAGCACTGGGCAAATGCCAGTCTGGCCGCGGTTAAGATATGGATTGTAATATACTTTGATTTTTTGGATATTCGTTTATCAAAAATTCCTAGAAGGAAGGACTCCGGTTTGTACTCAATCTGTTCCATGGTTATTTCCTCTAGCCAGTGCCTAATTTTTTGCCAATACTTCTGGGTTTCCTTGCATGACCACCACATGTGGAAGAAGGTACCTTCTGTGTTTTGACATTTCCAACACTTGGGGCTCGTGTTGGGGTGCATCTTGGCCAATCTCGAAGGAGGCAGGTGCCATCTATAAAACATTTTATATAAGTTTTCTTTATAAGCTGCTGATTTTGTGATCTTAATGTTCCTGTTCCAGACCTTTTCCCATTCTGCTAGGGTAATGCTCCGACCCACATTTCTGCTCCACGCAATCATATTTCCCTTGACAATTTCTTGTTCCAGTTCTGTTTCTAATAAATATTTGTAAAATTTAGATATATTTTTTTTACTTGGTCCTAATAGAATTTTGTCTAGAGTCTGTAATTTATTGTAGATTCCAAATTCTTTAATGTCTTGTTTGTATTTACTATGAATTTGAAGGTACACCCACTGATCAATTATAAATCCTCGTTCTTGTAATTCTTGTCGTGTTTTTAACTTTCCTTGTAGGTCTAATAAATTTTCATACTTAATCATTTTGGTTATATCCAAATTATTAGGGTGTACTATCGCTTCCATTGGAGACAGCCAAATCGGTATTTTTAGATAAAGTTTTTTACGTACTTTTTTCCAATTAGTTAATAAAGCGTCCCTAATAAGATGCCTATGGAAATACGATTGCCTGGGTTTCCCTGATTCCCACAGAAAGGCATGCCATCCTTTCTGCATATCGTGGCCTTCTAATACTAGTGTTCTTTTGTTGGTTAGGTTTACCCAATCCTTTATCCATAGTAAGGTGGCTGCCGTATGGTATATTTCCCAGTTTGGCAAGGCTAACCCTCCTCTGCTTTTCAAATCTTGTAGGGCTTTTACGTTAATCCTAGCTTTTTTCCCCTGCCAAATGAAATTCAATGTTATCTTGTTTAGTTCCATAAAAAAATTTTTATTTAGTTTGATTGGAATTGTCTGGAATAAATATAGAAATTTTGGCAGAATATTCATCTTAATCAAAGCAATCCTGCCCAATAAGGAAAGTTGTAACTTGCTCCAGAAATCCAAGTCTTTCTTAGATTGTTGAAGAAGTTTGTCATAATTATTTTCTTTTAACGATTTACTTTGTGGAGTTAGCCAAATTCCTAAGTATTTAATTTTTTTTGTCACCTGTATTCCCATTGTTGTCTCTAGCTTTTTATTCTGGTCTCCTGTTAAATTTTTAGTCATTAATTTTGTTTTTCCCCTGTTTATTTTAAATCCCGCGACTTCTCCAAATCGTTCTAGTTCTTCTAATAAGTTGTGTCCTTTTTCTATAGGCTCCTCCAGAAAAAAAAACCAAATCATCAGCGAAAGCCTGTAGTTTATATTCTTCTGATTTGATCCTCAGACCTCTAATTCTCAAATTTTGCCTAATGTACGTCAGAAGAGATTCTAGGGCGAATATGAAAAGCAGAGGGGAGAGAGGGCAACCCTGTCTTACCCCCTTTTCTATTTTTATCGGGCCA